TGCCCCCTCCCTGGAGGTGTTCAAGGCCAGGTTGGATGGAGCCTTGAGTATCATGATCTAGTTGAGAGGCGTCCCTGCCCATGACAGAGAGGCTGGACTAGATGATCTCTAAGGTCCCTTCCAGCCTAGGCCATTCTGTGATTCATCAGGCTGCAATTCCAGTCAGATCTTGGTGCAATTCAGTGAGAATGTTCACAGAAACTATAAGAAAAGATGCAGTTGAGGTGTTTGATACTGATATTTCTGCTCCCCAGCAAAACTGGAGTTTTTTTTCCATGAGTCTTTCTCTAGTCTTCATCGCCAATAGTTAAGGCAGGAAAATAGATTCAAATAGTCTTCTGTTAAAGTAGTTGCATCTTGTATTGCATCTGTGTGCTTGTTATAAGAACAACATCTTACTGCAAAATATGATCCCATCCCAGTGAATTTATCTGCAAAGCTCTGTAATTTGTAGCCAACAAAACCCAAAACTCATGCTTTTAAAGTGTATACAGTGATTGGGAGAAAATTGATTTGTTTTTCCAGGATGGCTGTGTTTAAAACTTTGAGTTGATTTAAAACTTCTGCAGTAAAGGAGTACCAGGGATATATCGGTGTTGGGTTTGCAGCACTGATGTATCAGAGCAGATCTGTGGACCCTGGGCTGCTGAGCTCAGCTGAGCGCTGCAGAGGGATGAGGGTGCAAATTGCGTTCCTGTGCCTGCATCGGGTTCTTATGGTTGCAGCTCTGTGAAGATGGCTGCTTGTGCTCGATCCAGAGCATGAGCTGAAGCACAGGCTGGCAATAACAACGATACTGTTCTCTGAAAACAATATAAAATTCTAGTCAAGGTAAGAGTAAAGCTAGAGAAGAAGACTTGGAGAATGTGTGAGATCAGTGCACCTGGGATTTTGTGTCCCTGGCCTCTTTTTAGCCAAATTTGTCTTTAAATGGACATCTTGCCTTAGATCTTTGAAGAAGTAATTTCTGCTCTCTGAGTATCAGCAGTTGAGTGAAATATGCTTATTGGTTTTGCAATAGGCAGAGTAGATTTCTACCACTGCTTGTAACAAGCAGTATGCATCTTAAGAACTTCCCTTGTTTTTCTGCCAGTGGCTTCAGTCTTCCTGTGATACTATGCTAAAAAGAGTAAAAGCAGGTGAAACCTCCACATGCATCTTTTTAAATTCAGGGTTTCCTAAAGCTGTGAGAAGGAAGTGCACTGCTGCTGTCAGATTGCAGAAGCTCTCTTTACCTGCAGCTTCTGAATAATGAAAGTGGAGGGAGAAATTCTTTTTTTCATACAAACACAGCGCTTGCTTAGATCCAGTGACGAGTTACAGATGCTTCAGTAGAAAGGAAATGAACCATGGAAGTAGCTACAGCTTAATTAAACCTTATGGTTTAATAACGATGTCTCATGTTTAGCTTTAAGCTTTCAGTACTGAGATGCAACATTTTTTTCTGTATACTGGTTGATGTTAATTTTATTCTCAGGGTCTACATAGGCATTTTAAAACATGCCATACTCCTAATATTGGCAGTGAATCCTGTTGATCAAAGGTTTGTCACCTTGCAAGGAAGTTTGTATTTAAAACAGCACAGTGAATGAAGGAGGGGTTTATGCAGAGAAGTGAAAATAATTGTCCAAACCTCTTTTAGAACAAGCTGTATTTATTAACAACAAAATATCCAGTGTTTGACTTGTGAAAATGAACACATTTTGAATTTAAAACAAGATTACTCTACTGAAGTAATGGGACTGGTGGATTACCACATCTAACGCAACTGATTATGTATAGCAGCTCTTGCAAGGCAGCGTGGATCTGACTCACTGAAGAAGACGTGAGGACTGTCAACTGATTTCTTTGATTTATTTATTTTTAATCAAGCTTTATTTGCTTTTCCTCAAAACTGCACACAGTTGTTCTCAAATTTTGTGGTGGTGGTGTTGGCAGAAACAAAGTTTGTTCCTTGAGTCACTGAAGCTAGCCCTCGTAAAGTAGATGTGTATTTCCAGCACTTACTTTACAGTGAACGCATGAAACCTGTATGGGATAAGTCTGAGCGGTCTGATTCTCTGTGTCTTCATAAAAGAAGCAGAGCAGCTCTAGGCACCCCAATGTCCAGAGCTAGACTAGGTACTAGAAGTCAGAAGATTTAATCTTAGATTTTTCCTGGGCCCATTTCATTCCCAGTTATGCTGCTGAGCTGGGACAGAAAGCACATTCCTTTGTTTGTTGCTGGAATAGTCTACATATGTAGAAGTCGCTAATTTTTACCTTAAAACTTTGGAGAAGAGGTTGTGACTGTGGTGTATGGAGCAGCATAGCTGATGTTTAAGCAGTTGACTGTTGATCACTTCCTGACACACATTTTCATCCCCTGAAGAGGAGTTTGCTGAAGATTACTGAACACAAGGATGTCACCTTGGTGCAGAAATCCCTGAGGTACAGGCTGCAGGGAGTCCGTAGGATGCACTCAGCAGAGATCACTGTGTGCTTGTCCTGTTCTTATGCTCTTCCTTAGAAGAGCCTTGTCAGAGACAGGCTTCTCTGCTTCGTGGACCCTGGCCTGACCCAGAATATCTTATTTTTGAATATCTATACAGATGTGAGGAACAAGCTTAACTCCTTCACTGTTGCATTTCTGTACTTACTTTTTTTGCTGTGAGTGTTTTTAAATTAATAAACCCAACTGTTTCTGAAATTCCACATTACTTGGTTTCTGCTTATGAAATCCTACATCACAGTATTGCTATAAAAGCTGACAAACTGAAAATTCGTAATACAAAGCCTCATGTTATTCTATGTTTTTACTGATTTTATTGATAAATATGTTAATTTTATGGAATGAACATAATCATACAACTGTACTTTCTTGACTTTTTCTCACTCTAAGTATGCTTATCTAAAATTGTAGGGTAGCTGATGTACAAGTCAGATATTAATGATGGGGTTTAGGGGCAGGTTGATCTTTCAGTGATAATACTTGGAAAAAAAAAATTAGTCTTTGAGGTAACAAGTTAAGAATGGAGGTCATTGACTGAAACTCAAGATGTGAGATGTGTTGAATGTTTTTGGGGTGTTTTTTGATCCTCTTGCTTAGACAGAAGTTACTCCTTTAAGGGAATTATTTTAATATGTGCATATTATTGTTATCGTTATTGTTGTGATGATGACAATGCCACTTTTATGGTACCTGTTGGACAATGATTTCCAAATACAGGAAGAATAATGGACTCTTAGCCTCTGTTTAAGCAGAAGGTCTTGCTTTTCCTATCCGCTCATTTATGCTAAAATTTACTTTCTAGTCTTTGAAAATGTTGACAGCAGTTCTTGACAGAAGATATTTTTATATGTTTTTTCTAATCGAGAGGCATAATGTAAATCAAATTCAGACCTAAAATTAAGCGCTGCTGTGTCTATGGATTTGTTTTAAAGCTATAAAGCAGTTAAACCTAACTGCCTCAAATAACACGTTGCTTTTAGGTGCCTGTAGTCCTAGATTGAAATACTGAGAACATTTGATAACACTGGACGTGATGCATGTCTCTAGAAAACATTGGTTTAGTTAACACTTAAATGCTTCCTGTTGGGCCTGCCTGAATTTTAATATCCTGCAGAAGCTTAACTCCCTAATGACTGAATCGCGTATTTGAGGCAGGGAGAGCCAACTTTCCGTCCCTGTTTCAGTGAACAGATTTCCAAGACGTCAGTGTTGCATAAGCAATATTACTATTTTCAGTGAGTTCTTTTTATCTTAACAATATAGTGGTGTGAAACTTCTGCAGTAGTCTTTTGCAGATTAGTTTTCGGAATCTAGTAAGAAGGGTGGCAAATTGATTTGCTCATGCAAGTTTGTGAATTAAAAAATTAAAATGACAAAATATAACTGTGGGTGACACTTTCACAGCCAGTAGACGGAGAGGGGGAAAGAACCATTTTGGGATGTGTTTTGAGTTATTTTTGAGCTTCTTGCAAGGATGTAAATAATTTGGTACCCTGTATTTGCATGAGTAATCTCAGATTCAGCATCAGCAATCACATATGTTCTGCATTTGAATGCCAAATTCACCCTGGGTTTTACAGCTGAAAGCAGGCCATGCCCCCAACTTCTGGATTTTTGTACTAACAGTAAAAGCTTTTCTAAAATCTGTAACGTCAGTGCCTCCTGTGACTGTAAATGCCAAGTCATAAGTATATTTCTTCATTTCCAGGGATCTACTTCAGACATTAACTGAGGATGAACTGCATACACTGGAACGTAACCTCTGCATCTCTCAAGATGTGGATTTTCCTGTCAAAGCAGATCCTGAAGTACCCTCTGTCATTACACCAGGCATAACTGCGACTCTGCCAGCTAAGGAGCTCTCGGGAAAAGCTGAAAACACAGAGGCTGAGCTGGCTTGTTCTATGCAGTATGATGAACAGGAGCTGGAACAGCTGAATAGGATGGTACACAGGGTAGGAGATGAAATGTCTTCTCTGCTTTCCCCTCCAAGCATCTGTCAGTCTCCAGCTCACAGACCTAGCCTAAGAAATAGTTCTAGCACAGAAGCTTCACCAACAAGACACCATCTTGACAATTTAACTGATGAAGAGGACAGAGTATTTTTTATGGATGACCTAGATGGAGCAGGAGAAGCTCTTGCTGGGTTGGATTCAATAAGTGACACTTTTGCTTGGGTGAATAACCCTTGCCATGATTCAAAACAGAATCTGCAATATAGAGATGCATTGCTGTACGAGAATGGCCATCAGGCAGAGGAAACTTTGCTTTTAAGAGATGCTGAAAGAGATGCTGAAAGTGACTTAAGCAATAATAACAATATTGAAGATAGCAAACAGATGTCTGGCATTTCAGTTCAGAACTCGTGCAGCTGTCTAGAAGGTCCGGACTCACAGTTATACCTCAACGGCTGGGATGCTTATGCTGATGATGCAGAAATGGCAGAGGTGATAGCTCACAGGACAGGGGGAATGAAAATATCTGCTACTGTAATATTCAATCCTAAATCTCCCTCTAGCTCAGAATCCCCGGTAACAACTCCAGAAGCCGCTATTAGTTGTGTTCCTGGATCTGCTAATCCATTAGCAAATGAGGACGATGATGAATCCCATAAACTCAGTATAGCTGCCACAAACTGTCTAATTAATTCCTGTGTGTGTTGTGGCAGCTGTGAAGACAGCAGGGAGGACAGTGTTCAAGGTTTAAAGACTAAACATTCTGCAGGAGGTGTTGTAAATGCTTCATACACATTAGTAAAGTCTAAGGAAATGGACCATGTAGATAACTTGGACAATTCAGTCCCTGCACAGGAAACATTAATGCTGGAAAGTTCTGCATTGTTAGCAGAAAGAGACTTTGGCAGAGAAGAGCAAAAACTGCCAGTCTCCTCTAAGTGCCTGGCACATTCCTCAGGTTCACAGGTAGGAGCAGAAAATGACTCACAAGGAGAAGCAGAAAGCATCTCAAATCAGCAGAAGTGGGAGAAGAGAAAACTATGTGAGAAAAAAATGGACAACAATGAAGATGCTAGTAGTGAAAGAACAGCAAAGGAAGATGTGAAGTCAAGGTCTAGTTCGAGGTAAGAGCAACTTGATGTTCGGTAATAATTTGCTTGCACATAAATTGCTAAATCCTTGTACTTTAGTGGTGTATAATTAATGGTGATTTTAAAGAAAATAGTATGTTGCATGATTAAGGAATTTTTCAATGTACGTTTTCTAGTGCAAGTAGCTTTTTATTGGACTTCATCAGCATTTCTGGAAAACATTCAGAGAACACCTGAATTAATATGTAATGGAAATCAAGTTACAATAATCTTGCCAGTTTAATGTAACAGTGCATCGCTGCTAAATATTACCTCTATTTACTCAGCTGTTTTGCAGGAAAAGTGTGTCTGGCAGATACTAAAAAATGGACTGCTGCTTCGGTGCACAGGATTGAATTGGGATCCAAAGACACCTTACCTTAGCTTCAATTGAGAGAACGAGGTTGATCATGTTGCCTGTGGGCATGAGTGTATTTGTGAATACTGTGTGCTGAAGAAGCCTAATAAAGAGTGCAGAAGCAGCATTTAAACCTATTGGACCATTTCAGCCAATGCTGATAGAAGAATAGAGGTCATGTATTAAGGTTCTGCGTGTTTAATGTATTAAGGTTCTGCGTGTTTAATGGCAGTCAAGAGCTAGATAACAGGGAGAGACTGTGTTACAGGAAATGTCATGCTTCAGCTCGACTTAGATTAGACATTAGGGATCCTACCCACATCAGTAGGAAACCAGACTTCATTTTGGTTCACTATTGAAGATGAGAACCAATTTCGTATGAGTAATGTCCTCAGTTTCCCTGTAGTATTAGTATTAATATAAAGCAGAGGGAAGAAATTAAATAGAAGTTACTGTTGTTTTCTGTATTGCTGTGACAACTTTCTTCATTCGTGCCTTACTGTGAGTACTGGGGAGATCATGTGTGTGATGCAGGATCTCGATTTCTTACATATGCATGGAATTCAGGATAACACAGTGGGGGCAGCTTGAACTGTGAACCGTTGCCACCATATAAAGGCTACAGCAGTACACGTTGTTTAATGATATACCAGTTGAATTATGAAATATTTTACTCATACTAGAAATAAAATCAAGAATTCTTTGAGCTGAAGTTAACTCCTCTTACAGGTAAAACATGACTTTGCATGCACAGAACTTGCCTTTTGAGAAGGTAATTTTATCTTCCTCATTATTCTGAGTATTTGCAATCTTAGGATTGAAAGTATGATCATATTCAAGGTCTTACAACAAGGTTTCTGAACACACTTCATTTTAAGAAGTAATTCACAAATCCCTTTGACATTTCATGCTTTTGCAACACTTCAAGTGGAATATTGCTTAGAAGTAATTACTCTATGTTTAATTAGTGTAGTGATAAATCATACATCTTTTACACAACTCAGACAAATTGTCTGCTGTTTTTTGCCTCGGGTATGATATTAAGTGAAGGATATTTGTGAGAACAAGTCTGTAAAATATAATAAAATTATACATATAAGCTTGTTTTTCAGCCTCCAATTGTTTGTGGATGTAATAATCTTTTCTGCATGTACTTGTCCAGCCTCTTTTACTATTGTGTAAAAGCTTTGTACGAGGGTTGTGCTTTTACAGAGTTCTGTAGGTCTGTGTTCCTCTCTGTCCTTTGTTTGCTCTGGACCTGACTCTTAACAGTTATATTGAATAGCTATTCCTATGTGGTCTCTCCGTGCCAGGTGTGATTTTTCAGACCTCAGTCACACCTCACCTATGTGGTTACTTTTTCAGGTTGGAAGAGTTACAGCCTACTTGATCAGAAGGTGTCCATAGTTTTGATTATTCCTTTTCTCTTCATTTAAACCTTTTACAATTATATTGTTTCCTTATAGTGATAAATGAATTAGAACTACACTAACTCTCAAGCTATGAGCAAGCCATGGATTTGCACAGTGGCATAATGATTTTCTGTTGTTTTTCCCAATGGCTCCCAATATTTTGCATTTTTTTGCCAAGTGGTGAGCTGACGTGTTTTTGAAGTTGCATGCCAAAGCCCCGAGATCCTGCCTGTGAGCTCAGAGGCTGTCATTCTATATCTGACACTAAAATTGTTCTGTGTTTACCAGTTGAATTGCATCTTGCCATGTTATTGTTATTTGGACTCTTATGATCCTGTGCAGTTCTCCAGTCTGCTCCTGTTACTATTACCCTGAATAATTTTACACCAATAGCAACCTGTCAGACTTCATTGCTCTCCCCATTTTTGCAGATTGTATGTGAAAACAAAACCTCCAGAGTCCTGAAGAACTTGAGCAGTAACACTCCACTCTTCTAAATGGAGTTATTTAACAGCTCCTCCCTTTTATGGTTAAGAATTATTTATCCATTTTGGGCCCCTTCCTTTTATGCTATAGTTCCATAGTTGTCTTAAAGGCCTTTAGTGAGATATTTTGACAGAACTTATTTGGAAATCCAGAGGCTGTGAGCGAAATCACATTTCTTCATGAGCTTCTTGACCCCTTCAAGAGAGCTCCCAAGAGGTTCAACTCTACAGGAGCAATGTTACTTATTCTGATTATTGTCTAACTATTTTAGCTTTTAATATATTCTGCTAGCTTGTTTGGTATAAACATCAGACTTGCAGAACTAGAGTTGTCTGAATCTCCTTGGAGTCCTTTTTATTTTTAGAGATTGTCACCTTTAAACTTGAGGCATCAAGGAAGTTTCACATGAGAGGTTAATAATTCGTTTGCTTCATTCTTGAGTTCTCCTAAAGTTCTTGGGTGAATATTTTGTAATGCTTTGTTAACAAGTTAATGGACTTCCTCTATTTTCACTATAGCCTGTTCCACAATTGCTTTCTTGATTACATCTAATTCTCTATTTGTTATTGAGACTACAGTACATCTGTTATTAACTGGCAAATATTTCATCTTTGCAGAAGTGGAGAAATAGGGGTGGAGGTATTTTGTTACTAAATTGTTGCTCCTTTATTGGGGAATACTCTAGTATTAACTCTTTCGGTATATTCTGTGAGAGATGGAGATGCTGAAGATCTGCTGAGGACTAGATTAAAAAGTATATATGTGTAGATACTTAGTTTTCTCTCATATAGATAGATAGATTTGGTTCTTGGCTCTGAATCACTAGTCACGTTATAGGCAAAAGCGATAACTGAGTTACAAAACAGAACTTTGCAGACCTTTTCTTACTCGTGCTGCCTGGGTGGTGACTACTTTTCAATAGTATTTTTAAATTGAAAGATCACATTAGGCTTCTGTGACTGCTCCTTGTTACATGCTTGTGAATGCCAACTTAACCATTGGGGAAATGTTGGAGACAGCAGATTATTTCAGAATGATGGACCCATTAGCTAGAACAATAAGCAATCTAATATACATGGGATGGCTGCAGGATATGCTCATTCATCAAATTGATAAATGTATTTACTTTCTAGTTACTGTAAGTCACCAACTAGGAGATGAGAATTTTTTTTCACATGTCTGAATCAAGCAGCTGTCAAATGTATACGTTATGACACAAACTGTTTCTTTTAGTAAATCAATTCTTACACTATACAGTATGACATTATAGATAGAATTTCAGTGATCCAGTAAGGTTTACTGTATTTAGTCCTGAATTCAGAAATACCTAGTATGTCAGGCTTGTCTGTCTAGCCTCCATATTCAGTGGCATTTAAAATACAGATTAAATACTCTTAAGATTTAGATATTGACATCTCTCTACTACTTTGCTGTTTAAATTGTAGCTGATGTCATGTCTTTCTCCATTTTTTGCTTGTAAGTATCTCAAAGACCAAAGGCACCCAGAGTCTTGGGCAGCGGCATTTAATGAGATGCAAATACAAGGAAAGTGCTAGCACGGAGGTAGTCAGTGTCTCATCTGCTGAAGGGACAGTGTGATAAGTAAAGGCTGTCATGTAGCAAAACAGACTGTTAAAGGGGAGAAATAGTATAAGAATAGTACAGAAGATGATAAAGCTGTGACACAGCAGCATTTGGTGTTTGCAGCTAAAAAAGGACATGTTAACACCAAAACCAAGCTTTGGATCCGTATCCAGTGTTCCTTCTTTTTCAACTGGAAACAAGCTACACAGATCTCTAAAATGCTTGTTCTGTCATAGCGTTCTGCCTTTTTTTTTTTCCAAGGGGGAAGAAAATTACAAAGAGTGAAGATGATTTTTATTTTAGTGTGTTGGAAATACTTGTCTTGCTATGTAGAGCTGATGAGTCCTTGTTAAAACTCGTGATTCTTCTGTGTGTTTTATGAACTTGAGTTCCTTGTTTCGCATTGTCACGCAGTGCTAGTGTTTTCATGTTCTAGTCTTAAGTACTTGGTTCTGTTGCACGTTTGTTAGTCCACGTAGTGACCTTAAAACAGTTAGGCTATAGAAAAGGATTCTTAAGCATAGTTTCTTTCCTTGCTGTTGGAGGCCTAGCTTATATATACACCTTTCCCCACCTTTTTCCTTGGTCTGTTTGGTGAATGTGCCTGTTGGGTGAGGCCCGTTACAGTCCCTCTGAGAACTGGCAGAAGGAGCTGGAGCTGGTAGTGAGGAGAACTTATCTTCACAATTTCTGCAAGCTCTAGCTTTGTCCATCGGCTGTTCGATTCTGGTGCTGTTCACACTTATTTGTGGGGACTTAAAAAATAGAATATGTTGCCATATGCTTTAACAGTGTAAGGAGGAGGAATGAGGCATCCTTGGAAAAGCATGTTTTGCTGTTTGCTGATCTGTATTGCACTTCTAGAATAAGATGAATAATTTATTCTCTAGCTTGGTATTCAAGTTGTCTCATTTCATATTGTTGCAGTTCTGTAGTTTAAAATTGTTTATATTGCAATAAATTTGTATATTACAGTATTCTGCATTGTAATATATTAAAAATTTTATTTTCTCAGCATATTAGAATGAGTTAGTAAAAAGATGAACACCTGTTTTATGCAGTCGGTCTTTAATTTTGATTTTTTTTTTCAGCCTGTGTTTTATTTTGTTTGCTCCTTAGCAACATATGACACGTGCGCAATTTCAGTACAGGAA